CTGCCTAACAGAAGGAGCTCCCAAACAAAAACTATGATTATATATTTTAAAACATACGTGGAGCTAAATAAACATCAGACAGTCATGTATAAAGAGACAAGACTTACTGACAGATGAAATATGTTACTAAATAAATAAACGATTGTGATAGCCTATATGATTTGTCTGATTTCTTCAAGCGGTCATATTTACCATGTTTACTATGGTAATGGCTAGCGTGCATAGTCTTTTGCATCGCTTATAAATATTTCTGCCTTGTACAGTGATCATAATCCACATCAGATCTCAAACAGAAGTTATTTCATCCACTCACTGCTGTCTGAAAGCGAGTTCTGAGCTCAAATTATTTTAAAAGTCTGGTAAAATAATCCGCGGCACTGACGCTCTCCACACGCGGAGAAACTCCGCCTTTGTTCATAGCCACTTCTCAAGCCCGAGCTGGCCTGCTTTGATCCAAGGTTTTCATCAGGCCAAAAAACCCTGGCCGTTGGCCCTGAGAAAGCCGAGACGAGGCACGGTCAAGCCCCGGAAGTGACAGTGGAAACGTGCACTAGCACGCCCGCTTTTGGCGGTGGAAACGCGGCTATTGTGTCTACCGATGAGGCACTTCGTGAAAATGTGCACTGTCCCAATGTCGAGTGCAGACGCACTGATGAGCTACTGTCCCGTTCATACAATTCTACAGCAAGCCTTGGCCGTGTTTCCAATTCCTTAGCGCACATGCTTGTAGCTTTACATTCCTCTCTGAGCGAAGCTTCATCTGACCCATTAGTGACAGTACTAACTGAACTCGCCTTACAAGCCAAGGGTGTTATTGCCAGTCACTGTGGCAATGCTTTAGGCACTCTTGTGCAAGCTCAAAGACAGGTTTGGTTGGCTCAATCTTCAATGCCAGCGGTGTGTCGAAACAATTTGCGACGACTGCCATTGGTCCCCGGTCGAATCTTTGGTCCAGCTGCACAGGAAGCCTTGGACATGTGTCGGTCTCTGAAACGCGTTCCTGTCATGTGGGGATAGCTTCAGGATCCAGGCAGCCTCCAACAGCCTCTGGTGTTCGTTATCACAATGTTGGTGCAAGATCTACATTTAGACCTCCTCAGCATTTCCAGCAACGGAACCCACAAGTTCCTCTACCTCCTAGGCGTGTGGGGTCTCAACTGCGTGGACATCAGTCTCACGCTCGACACCCAGGCCCTCAGTGACATCCCCCCACCTCTACTGAAAAGCGTCCACGGGATCGTTGATGCACGGAGGTCGACAGTGGGCTGTTTTACGGAAAGTCTCCTGGAGCGCTGGAGATCAATAACATCAAATCAGTGGCTGCTGACTACTCGAGAGGGTACTGTATACAGTTTTGCTGTCGACCCCCTGTTCACAGTGGCATGAGACAGACAATAGTTCATGACTCATGCCACACAGAGGCACTTGCGCACAAAGTTCAGGTGTTGCTGCGCAAGGGTGCCATAGAGTTAGTCGACCCTCAAGTTCACCCCGGGGAATTCTTTTTCATTTATTTTGTGGTCACCAAGAAGGACGGCGGGTTTTGGCCGATCTTAGACTTGAAAAATCTGAATCGCTTTCTAAAGTTCCTTCCATTCCCAGATGTTGCGCACAGCAGATGTGTCGCAGGTGGTTATGCCACAAGACTGGTTTGTGACGATCGATTTGAAGGATGCCTATTTTCATGTTCCGATTGCTCAAGAACACAGGCAATTCCTTCAGTTTGCATTAATGGGATAACTATTCCAGTTCAGGGTCCCTCCATTTGGCCTGGCTCTGGCACCAAGAGTTTTTTCAAAGTTTGCCCAGGCAGCATTGAAACCACTCCAAAGGAATGGCATGAGGGTACTGCCATACCTGGATGACTTGCTTGTCTGTGCAGCATCACCCCAGCAAGCAATCAACCAAGCTCGTCATCTGTTGGACCATATTGCGGCTTTAGGGATTGCTGTGAATTGGGAAAAATGCAAGCTTGTCCCAATGCAGACAACCAATTTCATAGGTCTTACTCTCATCTCTGTCACAATGCTGTAGGGGTGGGGGAAAAAATCGATACAGCATAGTATCGCGATATTTTCCGCGGCAATACTGTATCGATACACGGACGCCAAGTATCGATCTTTTATTATACTATTTGGTAGAATAATAAAATCAATTTCTTTACAATCCACTAGATGGTGGTGTTGAGTTTTTTCTGGTGAGGTCAGCTGGGTCACCTTCAGCATGCAGTAAGTTAGTAAAATAAAGAGGGCGGCATGCGGAAAGTTATCAGGAAAGCCCCGTCTGGGTTTAAATCGAATGTATGGACTTACTTCGGATTTGTAAACAAGGAGGGGATGTAAGTAGGGATGCACCGAGAAAATAGGCTACGTATAATAGTGGACTAGATTAGACTGTAATACAAATAGTTGAGTTTGCCAGGTGCATACAACATTTATGACAGGTTTTCATGAAAGTGTTGGTCAGTTTGTCTGCTTGACAATCCCATTTTGCACTGCAACAATAAAACTGAAGTGAGAAATGTTTCTTTTTAGTTAAAACAGATGTTGTCAAAGTTTTCCTTTGGGGACATAATTTGAAGTTGGAAAAAGGTAATAAATTGCAATATATTGCAGAATATCGCAATAATATTGTATCGTGACACAAGTATCGTGATAATATCGTATCGTGAGGCCTCTGGTGATTCCCATCCCTACAATGCTGGCATCTCCAACTCCAGAGAGAATAAGGTCAATTCTGAGGGCTGTAGGGCGCCTTTGGGTGGGCCACACTCAGCGCTACATTTCTGTAATGAGACTCTTGGGGAAGCTCACAGCAGCAATGACAGTAGTACCACTGGGGCTGCTTTGGCTCAGACCATTCCAACGGTGGCTTATTCAAAAGCATCTCTGTCCAGTATGAGACAAAAACACAAAGATCAGAGTCACACATCGTTGCATGCGAGCTCTAGCACCTTGGTCGCAGAAACAATTTATTCTCAAAGGTGTGCCGTTGGGACCACCACCTGCTCGGTGGGAGGTCATCAGGACAAGTTCAAGTTCCGTTTATTTCTAAAGCACATTTAATAATGGTCACAGACCGACCAAAGTGCTGAACAATAATTAAAATATAGGTACAAAGACCAACAACAACCAATTTGGGACAATAAAAAACTGGATAAAACTACATGTTAAAAGCAGAGAAAAACGAGTTTTGAGACAGGATTGCCAGATCAGAGACAGATGCCAGTCTTCTTGGATGGGGTGGAGTCTGGCACAGAAGAGGAGCTAATGGCACTTGGAAGGGGGCCCTGCGCACAGTGCACATAAATGTCCTAGAGTTGACAGCAGTGTTTCTTACCTTTCTTCATTTTCAGTCTGTACTCAGGGGAAAACATGTTCTGGTATGCACAGACAACAGGGTAATGGTCTTTTATATCAATCATCAGGGAGGCACAAGGTCACGGAGTGCACTTCAAGTGGCTCACAAACTGCTTGTTTGGGCTCAAACCAACCTGCTTTCCATTCAGGCAGTGTATCTGCCAGGCCGACTCAATCAGGCCGTGGATGCTCTCTCACGTGGCAGGGTGTCACAGGGAGATTGGACTCTACACCTGGAAGTGGTGCAGAAGGCAATGGTGATTAAATCTAACGATCGGTTAGCTCATATCACATCAAACCTTGCAAATTATTATTTTTGTTATACTTTGTTCTCAAATTGTTAATGTTAACAACATCAGCATTGCGTGACTACGTGTGTAGTGTGTATTAGCGTGCAGATTTCAGTTTCTGTACAGTCTAATCTCTAATTGTCATACCATTCGAATTTCATATAAAGAAATTATTTTAACCCAAAAAGCAAATTATTCTTCCTTTGAACTGACTCTCTTTAAAATACAAATCTTGTGTAATCCCAGGCTATCTGTAATCAGATGCACATTTAAAGCTGTAATATAATCTAATTTCAGTCACACGTGTTTCATAAACACATAATCCTTTCTGGATTACAATCTGTCATCAAAATGACAAATGTAATTATTCCAGCTGCTTTGAGAAAAGGCCAGAGATAAACGATCCACCACTTGCAGGATCCTCACATGCGATATAGCTACTAGCTGGGACAACTTCTTTATGTTTACAGACGTGACGTATGCATGCTTGAATTTCCAGCGAATTCCTACCCGTACCACTCAAATTAGAAAACATTATTTTAAGACTATCGTTGTGAATCAGGCTAAAGTAAGGAGATAGTTTTGAACACTGGCTGGTTATTCTTGCTCAAAAATTTATTTCGGATCATTTTTAACCAAAAAAAAGTTATGGACTGCAGCTTTAAATAAATGCTTTGTTTATAATGAGGAGGACGTTTTAAGCTATAAACTTGCAGGATGTTTTAATGGTGCAAAGACCTCTTATATGCCAAAAGATCAAGAAAAATTTGATTTCTCATGCCATGACCCCTTTAAGCTCACTTGACAATAATTTGTAAATAATCTCTGTTTAGTGGCATAACCACAACTGATGAAATAAGGAAGATAGGTAATTTCTTTCATATTAAAATAGCTTCAGAATTACTTCCCAGATAGTAAGGTGACATTGATACAATGTTGAGTTTTCATCCAAACCATCATCCTGGTTGAGGTTGACATTTCAATGTTTAAAGTAGGGCTGTCATCGTTAACGCGTTAACGCATGCGATTAATTTTACAATCCTTAACGCAAAATTACTGAAGCACAATTTCTATTCTAACCCTTTAACCCAGTTTTGCTACTCTGTTTGTGATTAGATCATTTTAAGCTGCTAAACTCCGGGAAAGTTTTCAGTCCAATGATCCAGTAAGCGAATGCATTCAAACAATCCGTCCAAAACAGCGCTAATATAAAGGAAACCAGTCTGATTACTTCAGAGATTGCAGAGAGTCTCACTCTCCGTGAACCGTGAGTGTGTCAGATAAGAGACTTCTTTGGTGCTCAATGGTTCTGCATCCCTCCAGTTATTTTCTTCAGACTGGCAAAGGAAAGCAGTTTTATTGCTCCCTCAAAATGGAAATGTAACCCCATCTTTTCACCACGGAGCAAGTCTTCATTATTTTACTTCTCACCAGCAGTGCAATACAATGGGCAAATACCATCCGGGAGCAGGATGTGGCAATCATCAGATCCTGTTCTGCCTTCGTCATCCATTTCAAGGTATTCAGTGTCTGAACTGTCCCATTCAGGTGAAACCTACGGTCCCTTTCTCCCTTCCACCTCTTCTCTTTTGTGTCATCCCCTCTTCCCTCCCCCACCCACTTTTCATCAATGGATATGAATAGTGCCACAGACACTTTATGCTACACTTGTCTAGGTACAACACTGGAGCCTATTGTTTTCAATTAGGTATCATCTTTCCTTTGACAGAACAACTGGCTGGCAGCCAATCAGGATTCACTCGGCTGAGACTGCATTGTCATCAATCAGAGATGTCCTGCAGATTGCGAGAGCTGATTCCAAATGGTCAGTTCTCATTCTGGTAGATCTATCTGCGGCTTTTGACACCATTACCCATCAGATCCTTCTTATCACTGGGCTTCACAGCAACTTCACTACACTGGTTTGATTCGTACCTCATCAGACATATACACAGCACATCAACTAGTCACGGGGTACCTCAAGGATTTGTTATTGGACCCCTCCTCTTCTCCATTTACTCTAAATTGCTGTTTCTGGCTGGTGGAGGGATAATAATTATAATAATTTTTTTTAAAACCCTCTTCTTATATATATTTTTTATAATATTTCTTATATTATCTCCCTAAATCCTTCTCTGTTCTAACCTGTACTATTCTAGATACACTTTTTATTGTTACTTCTTGTGTTATTGCTTCCTCTAGATGAATCTCATGTTGTATTTCTCATTTCTTAATCACATATCTGCTAAAGAAATAAATGTAAATGTACACTCTAAAAAATGCTGGGTTGTTTCAACCCAACTTTGGGTCAAATATGGACTAACCCAGCTGTTGGGTTAAATTTTTAAATGAAAATTTTAACCCAAAAGTTGGGTTAGTCCATATTTGACCCAAAGTTGGGTTGAAACAACCCAGCATTTTTTAGAGTGTAAAGTCTTAACATCTCCAGCCTTTCCCATAAATCCACATCCTGTTCAAGTGACTCTACAGCTGAACCCATGCAAACTGATTCATCTTGTCTCACTTCAACACTCAGTATCAGCTTCAAAACCAAATGTACCTGTAGTGAGGATGTGTGGCTCATTCCACCTCCAAATGCCCTGTTTGATGTCCCTATCTCATTGTGAGGTCCATTGAATACTCACCCAAAGTCAATACAAGCTTTGCTAAAGGCAGTATAACTTATCAAAACATACACAGTCATTTTTCAAATTGGTGCCTGTCATGTTAAAAACCTCTCATTCTTTATATTGCATGGTTCAAGTGCATGGCCGCCATGGCTCATCCAACATCCCCTAATGCAGTGATTCTCAAAAGTTTTCTGCCAGGCCCCTCATTTGTAGAGAAAATATTTTCAAGTCTTTGAAACACTGTGTTTACACCGGACGCAAAGGTTATCACGTCATGCTGAAACAGCCTGGCCATCTACAATGAACGTGTCAAAGTGGACAGTGCTAATTCATTTGTCCATTGTGTCAGAAGTTGTGCAAGTCTTTGGAGCATGTTAGAAAAAGAACGGGGCATCAGTTTACGGTCGGACATTGGTCGTGTTGTGTCGTGCCGCATCCAGTGAAGAGCATCATTATAATGGGTTCTATTTGCTTTTGTCAAATCGTGACAATGAATACATTGTGTTCAGAATTAATAAATATGGCAAGTAGCCTCAAAAGAAGCAGATAATTTTGCAGTGTGGTCTTGTATAATGTTGAAGAGGTTTATTTGCATAACAATCTACTGACTGTACACTATCCCTTCGCCTTGCCCCCAGTTTGGGAACCACTGCCCTAATGTGTCCTGGATTTCTGGGGAGATCATCTTCTGGACTGAACCATGCTTTCTTGATGAAGTAGACCAGTTACCATTGACGCTTTTATTATTAAATAAAAATAAGGCAACATCAACAAAAAGCACTTTTCAGTAGCGGTCCTCAGATCTCTGTCAGTATAGAAACACTGGCTTGCTCTCTTTTGCAGACAGCAGGCTTTTTCAGCTCCGTCCGAACTGGCTAGAATAGACAACACCTGCTAGTGTCACTTACGCACAGATGCTCCCTCACTGCACACAACTCTCTTTGCATCCACAGACTGAATCGAATCAGGCCCCTGCCACAGACCACCAATCAGTGTGGGTGTGTGCCACATCCACTGAAAGTCCTGTGAGTGATATCTGTCCCATCATTCCTCAGTCTATGATGTGTTCAGCCCTTAGCGAGCAACCCAAATATCACCTTGGGAACATGCCATCGATCTGCTCCACTACGCCAAGGCCACATCTTTCCTTTTTGTTGCTTTTTGAGCAGAACATCATGGGGGAATATGTGAAGGTGTCTTTCAAATATTCATGAGTGAATTCCTCATTTCATCATTGCCAAGTTCAGTTCATGGAGCTTCCTCCTAACAAGCTGTTGATCTGAATGAGGTATGTTAGATAAGAGAGACATACAAAATGTGCAAAGCGGTGGTGCGCCAGGACCGGAATTGAGAACCACTGGTCTAGTCAAACAATATCCTTATCTTCTCAGTCCATGCCCAAACATCTACAGCACGTCAAGCTGGTCCTCCAGAGATTGCTCCAAATTCACCTGCTCATTGAAGGGGTCATGAACTGAGAAACCAAAATTCCCTTGATATTTTGACATAAGAGGTCATTGTGCTATAAAAACATCCTGTCATTTTCAGAACTCAAAACTTTCTTGTTGGTGTTCTACTCTATGATGTAACAGTGTGGATAAGCACTGCCTCCACAGAAGAAGATCAATGCCTGCTTTGACATCACTGCCTGTTTAGCCCCGCCCACTGATTCTACATCACTGCCTGTTTAGCCCCGCCCACCGATTCTACATCACTGCATGTTTAGGCCCACCCGCTGATTCTACATCACTGCCTGTTTAGCCCCGCCCACCAATTCGCGCATGTAGTGTAAATAACGAGAGGCAAACGATAAAGATGCTCCGAAGACAACTTCGCTGACGCTGTGCAGTGCCAAGCTGTGGAAAAACAGTCTTTGCATTGCCTTCATTAACATTACATAACATTATAAGTGGACCTCAGAGAACAGTACAAAATAAAAAACAAAGGCAGTTCATGACCTCTTTAAGGCCAAAAGGTACCAGCACACAGTCCAATTCCTAAGATATAACCCATTTTTTGTACCATTGTTTCATCAAGGGCTTCAGTGTCATTGCCGATTCACTCACTTCTCAGTTTCTCAAACTATCCAAACTCTTTCTTAACCATCCAGACCTGGAACGTCCCTTGTTTGTGGAAGTCAACACCTTTACCACTGAAGCCAGATCCATCCTACTTCAATGGCAGGAAAATGCTTCTGTCTTCTTCTGTAAGAATTTATTTCCAGTCGAGCAAAATTATAACACAAGGAACCATGAGCTTTTGGCCATTGAACTAGTGCCACAGGAGTGTGGCCAGTGGCCTGATGGTTCCTGCCATCCTTGTCAAGTGATGACTGATCATCTGAACTCCGATCTCCAATCTGATCTCCAGGAGGCACGGTGGTTGAACACTTTGCCAGGCCCAGTGGGTATTGCTCTTCACCCAAAGTCAATTCACGGTCACCTATCATCCAGAGTCAAAGAAATTCAAAGCTGATGTGCTTCTGGCTTTATTCTCCAAAAGTTCCCAGCTCTAATCCTGAAATCATCCTTCCACCTACCATCATCGTCAGTCCAATTCAAAGGACCTCAATTGATGAAATAGCCAAACAATGCCAACCCCTGCCAAACCCTCCTTGATTCTCTTCAAAGCCCCTATACACTTCAAGTGAAAGAACAAGTTCTCCCCAGCTGGTAAACACCTTCCAAAACCTGCCTTCTTTAATGCAGAAATCTTCTTTGATTCATTTCCTTTATTCGATCCATCAGAAAAAGATCTGGCAATGTGGAGGGTTCGAGCCCCTGCCCCTTTAATCGCAGACGCTAAAGTGCCCTTCCGTTTCTAGGTGCCCTATCTAGGTGCCCTAGAAATAAGGGAAAACACAAGCTAATGCACAAATTTTGTGTTAAATTCTGCAATCACAGAATCACGAAATCCTGGAGGGACGGTAAATGCACTTTATAAATAAATATGACTGATTGACTGACTCTCCAGGATCACTCAGACCCTCTCGCTCCTCTGCGACCACATGTCCCAGGACATTCATTGCTTTGTTCAAGCATGCACCGACTCGGCCCTGACTAAATCCCAGCAAAGCATGTAGATGTCAAGGGAATTTAGCCCCTGGTCATACCTACTACTAGTGGATTTTGTGTATTAGTGGCAGTTGACCAGTTTTCCAAAGCATGTCATATGATACCACTCAGAGACCTATCATGGAAGCACTGTTCTAACATGTCTTCTGGAAATTCGGCCTCCCAGAAGACATAGCATCAGATTTACTAAACAAGGCAAATTAGCATGAGAGCGCAATTCCAAAAAAGCACTGATGGAAGTAAAAAGTTCTCCAGGTGATCTACTGACAATCTGCAAATGACCAATGCAATCTACCAAGAGCAGCACAAGTTAATACAAGTGGAAAAAATTCTCTCCCTTCTACCACACGCTTTCTGCTCTCTGTGGTGCCTTCTCCTTGCAGCAACAATCACAGTCATGTCAAGCAGAAAATAGGTTAAGACATGCTTTTTCGGGTGTTAAATAAGGGTGCAAATACCAGTAAACTGACCGGCGCAAACCTTATTAAATCATGTTGTGTGATTCATTTAAATAATCTCCTCTGAAAGGGAAACTCCTACAAATGCCTATGCAATAAAATCAGTGGCAAAAACGACTGTGTCCATGCCTTTTTATCGCAAATTTTTCACTGTGCATCTTTAGCAGTTTTTTTTTAACGCCAAAAGAGGGTTTGCACTAGCGCAAGCTGTTAGTAAACCTGGCCCATAGTTTTTGTGAATTTATTGTGGAAATGGTTAACAATGCGTTTCACCTAGCATTGCGTATAAATCTATCAATAATATATTTCCGCCTCATAGGCTACTTTGATTTGAATCCACATCAGATCGCGATTGGCTGTTATTTTAAATATCAGCTGGTTTTGAGCTGAGAATATTATTTTAAAGGGCTTAAATTTTGATGTTAACTGTAGCTAGGAAAGAAAAATGGGAAATGAACACTGTTGCTAAGTCAAATATACTCCTTTGTCCAAGCAGCAGTTGGCTCTCGTTGGACCAAGGTAATCAATGGGCCAAAACCCTTGGCCTATTGCCCCCGAGTAGGCATTATCAAGCATGCACCAGCACGTTAGCTTTTGGCCCAACAGTGGAGACGACTTGCTTATGATAGCATGTTATCCTGGCCCTAAGGCAACAAAGCAGCCCAGTGCATTACACAGATGGTATGAGGATTTGATGTTGGTGTGCTGTGCCTTTTTCACACATAGCTGTAATAGCCATAAGGTAGAGTAATGTTCAGTGCTTTTGTTGTGTGGTGTGTTGTAGGTGTGTGTTTATTGTGTTGTGGTTTGAA